ATTTAATTTGATTATTGATAATACAGAATTAATTTATTATTATTTTACTGAAGCTAGCGCTCGTTTATTACATTATTACTATGCCAGAATTTAATCCACCTGCAGGGTTTAGCATAATAATCCTTCATGAACTCACTCCGAGGACATCATCAAACTAAACGTATATGGTGACCGTAAATATCATAATAGCACATCATACATAAAGTAACATTACCCAAGACAATAGAAATATTAATTCAGCGAAATAAACCTCATCCAAGTGAATCAAAAAAATATTTATTACATATATATGTCTATTTAATATCTTACGGGTTAAGAGAACGCAGTAATTAACCGAGACCTAGTTCGTTTACGACGATCAGTATAAAACGAACTTCTCCTCTCTGGGATCCTGTTCAATACATAAATGTATAACTAGTGCAGCTAATCCGTCAAGACAAATTTTACCGTTGACATTACAACCGTTCGGGATGGGGTGTTCATTTCCATCAGAGTTGTGAATCATAATTCTTGTTTCCCAAGTGACTGACAGAATGATCTTCTGTTCGCCCGATGATGACCCACTCTATCAAAGTGCAAAACAACATAACATAGAACTTGTTTAATCTAACATGATTCTCATTCATAAAGGGTAAAAGTGTAGTATCATCCAAAGCCAAGCTTTCAGTATATAACACTAACAATCATATGAGCCAATTCACTGGCTAGAAAACCCTCCCCTTCGATTCATCATCTCTTAAGCCCTGTCTTTTTTTATTTTCTCCACAATATATAGGGTCTCGGAATTTTTGAAGCGCCACGAACAAATTCAGTTTCTCGGCCTGAATCTCTTTGACAACACTGGATATGGCTTCGGAGGGAGTCTTTTCCCCTAAAGCTTTGCAATTTTCTTCAACGTGCATATGCCTTCTTTTTGGCTTTTCTTTCGACCCGATATTCTATATATGCCACTGCCAGAGCTTCATCCTCACTAGTCCCCTACTCCTTTAACGAAATCACTCTCCATGCGGATACACAGGCTGCAGGTGGATCAAAACCGAATATCTTGATAGCGTCTGAAAACCTAGAATTCAGATGCTTTTGGAAAAACTTAATCCCGTAAGCATCCTCTGATAAACTTATCTGCTTGTGCATACTCTCTATGCATGGAAATGTAGCTGGTGGCACAATTTCCATAGATTTTAGCCATAAATGCTCGGTTTTAGCAAACCCTTTAACAAGCTTTCTGAGTTTGACTAAGCAAATCTACTCGCATATACGACATAGCTGGCTCTCGGCTCTAAATTTCGTCAATTAAAATGAACATTAAAAAAAAGTAGCCGACACCAAATAAAGATTCGATTTTTGTAGTTAATCAAAGGAAGAAGAAGAAGTGACAAAGGTCGTCTGACGAACACTATAAATTCAATTATATTTATATGGTTGTGAGTATGGAAACCTGTTATAGAAAGCTTTCGAAAAGATGGAGTGAGGGAAAGAGATGTGCCCTTGCAGTAACCGGATGCAATGGCTTGATGGCCGAGCGACGATCCCAGAAGAAGAGATTACATTACCCATTCAATTTGGAGGAGACGGACCAACGAGCAACATGATCTTAGAGACGTTTAATATTGTGAATCATAAAAATGAACATATTGCGATTCTCGGGAAGACGACATTTTGCAAACTCTGAGCGGTTGTATCCATTTTTCACTACATAAAATTTGCAATTCCCAAGGGGTTGGGGATCCAATATGGAGACCAACAGGAGGCTAGAGAATGCATTATAGCGACTCCTCGCTAGAAATTTATATGACATACGACGACAAAGTTTTCGAACTAAACATATGACAAAATGAGAAATTCATGATGACTGAACTGGCGGTCTCAGAGCAAACCGTGAGAAATCATGATGATTACCCGATCAAAAGTGTCGATCAGCTTTTAGCTTGTAAATGTGTGAAGATTCCATGGACGAACTGATGCGAGATCGTGGGAGAAAAACTGGTAAGGAATTGATGAGGGAAGATGGCGAACTAGACTCGCATGATCAGTTCAGAGAAATGAATCCCAACAAACATACCGAACCGAAAAAGAGGTGGAGTTGATCTATCTCGATGAACCAACTTGCAAGAAGTCACTCTGAATCAGCAAATATTTGAAAAAACCAATCAGGACCGAACTCATCGAGTTTCTGAAGGCGAGCTCTGACATGTTCTCTTGGGCTCATGAAGACATGGTCGGTATCAACCCAAAAGTAGCGTGATACCCAAAAGTAGCGAAGATGTACTTCCTCATCATTATAATGCAAGTGGCCTTTATCTTATTCCTATCTGCGACCATTTATCCCAACTCGGGTTGAAGTCTCTGTCTTGGATTCAACCTCGATGTCTCTTTTGGTTTGGTTCTTTTCTATTTGATGGTCAGTCTGCGAGCCTGCAGCTAGCAGGAACTCGTTAACCAGCTCGACTTATTGAACACATGAGATCTTATTCCCTTTTGTGGGCCCATTTTTCAACTCGGTGTTAAAAGATTCGAGTCAAGTATGCACGTCCAATAAATAAACTTGTTATATGGCATTAAAAGTTTAAAGGTTTATATTCCCACTACAAGAAAACACTTTAATTCCAACGAAAAATTGCAACGGCAAAAATTTCCGTTGAAAATTCCAATGAATATTCCAACAAACTTAATTTTATGTTGGAAGAAGTGTTGGATGGTTGAAGAATTCCAACGGATTTTTTCCGTTGGAATAGTTGTAGGAATTTATTTCCATAGGATTTTTCGTTGGATTTTAGCTATTTCAAATGTCGTTTTTCCCTCGAATTTTTATACGTTGAAATATCCTTTGGAATAGTTATTCCAACGGAAAATATAAAGAATTCCAACGGAAAGTTTCCGTTGAAATGTAAGAATTTTTTTGTAGTGTCCATTTCATTAAAATTAATATAATAAGATTAAATTGAAGATTTCATACATCAAAGTATGAATTTTTTAAAAGTAATAAGTAGTTCATATATTGTAAATGGTATGAATCAATAATATCGCATATAAAATTACTCAATATGATTTCTACTTAACAGAACAATAAAAAAAATAAAAATAAAGAAAAAAGTGACAAATTAAGCTAAAACGACAAAAAAATCTATGAGAAGGATTTATATTTAATTTGTTGGTTTAATTTACATTAAATTTAAAATAATTCAGATCATCGATAACAAATTAATATAACAGTACAATCAAAAATATTTTTTATTACTACATATGTATAAAAATATAAAAATTTAAGACCGGGCCCGCCCCGGCCCAGCCTTGCCTACGCCCATGCTTCCACCCACCTAGCAATCTAGAAAGAAAGTGTCATCACAGAACATGTACCTTGAGTGTCACTTGAAATGATAATGCCACAAGTAACAAGAGGAAAAAGAGAAGCGAATTATGAAATCCACACCACCTTCACCCACACCTCCACAACAATTTGGAAAGAGGAAAAAGTACTCGTGAGCTTACCCATTAGAGCAACCACAATGCTTTGGGTTCAATTACAAAAAATTGTATGCCTCCTAAGAAATATAGACCTAGTCTAAAAAAATGTATTTTCCAATGCAAACAAAAGTAAACTGGGTCCTGCTAACGTGATAGCCCAAAAAAGAGACTCGATCTATCATTAAGTCTATTTTAGACGCAAGTAGAGACCTAGTCTCTTTGCATTGGAGTGGATTTTAGCAATTTTACATAATTGTATCCATGTCATCAAAGACTTGAGTTTATTTACATGCCACATAGACAAGACTAGACTCAATGCATTGTAGATACTCTTAGAGCATCTCCAATGCTCAAATGTTGTTATAGAATTTTTTTTGACAATGTCAAAAAATTAAATAGATTGTGAAACATGTAGGATAAATGTTGAGTTCACAACTATTAAATTAAAAAATCATCTCCAATGCACAATGTTGTCTAATTACAATATTATTTACTTGCCAAATAATAAAATATTAATATAAATTAATAAAATTAAATAAATAATTAAATGGTTTGAAGATGGTAATAATAATTCTCTCTCTTCTCCTCATTGGCTAATTAGAATGTGGAATAGAATGTGGATGAACCACATTCTTCTCTACATTGTGGACATTAATTATGTCCACATCATTACAACATTTGTGATCACATTATACATTGGAGGATGAAAAATTGTGATATTAATAAATGTGTTGAGATGGAATGTAATTTATCACTACAACATTGAGCATGGGAGATGCTCTTATACAAGTTCACATGGCGGTGAGCTTCATGTTGCAACAAAGCCTATCATATATATATATATATATATATATATATATATATATATATACACATATTCTCGTTTTATATATAGATAGATTATAGATATATATACACATATTCTCGTTTTATATATAGATATATTATAGATAGATAATTCATGTGTTTTGATTATCATATGAATATGTGAGGCCTAATCAAGACCTACTCTTATGCATTGAGAGCACCAAATATAATAATAAAATCATATAGAAAAGCTATTGTTTACGTTACCATTCCGTCAGAGTATTTTACTCGTTTGATACACATGTAGTTAATATAAATAGATGATCTAACGGTCAAAACACCCGACGAAATAATACCATAACGGAACCGTAACATTTCCCTTAAATCATATGAAGACAGAAACAAAGAGAAAATACAAAAAATTACCAATGGTAGAAATTAGAAAGCAAAAGTATTATGTGGCATAACATAACAAGATCAAAATCCAGGTGGGCCCGGGCACATTTACAAAGATTTTTTGTTTTTTTTTTTTTAAAAACAGCACGTTACATATATACAATTATGGACTACCTCTTCTCATTCTCTCTGTGTCTCTTGTCCTGATTTTTTTTTTTTTCTTTTAATTTTTTGCTTTTTTTTGGTGTCTTTTTTTTTTGTCCTTTTTTTCTTGGATTTCCTTGGACAGGGCAGAGGTGATGCGCACGTGATGCGAGATCGAGCGCGACAAGTCAGACGGTGGTAGCAGCGGCGTTGGCGGATCTTGGCTGCCTTAGAAGCTCTATTAGTGCTTCTGCCTGTCATTTTTTTTTAACACAAACACAAATATTATTATTACTTGATAGTCCCAACACACACCGTACCACCAAAACTTCGCACGCACACATTAAAAATTAACTAATAATTGAATGAATCACAAGAACAAGACAACTATGCCGTTAATTATCATATCATCCACCAGGTCATCTTTGTTGGCCTGCGGGAAGCTCCTATTTCCTAGTAGTCTTCCATACAGTTTTTTTCTAATCCATTAAACATAATGATACAATGATATCAAATGTTTAATTCTTGCATACAATTATGCAGTTTATATCTAAATTCTAACGCACGACAAGATTAACAAACACGTCAAGTAATGTTCAGTAATTTACCATAGTAATTGTGTGAGATGCGCAAAAAAAGGATTCGCGTTTCGAATAAGTACAAAAATTACTCGATAAAGAACACGACCATATGGGAACAGAGTAAATGTACAGATGCTTTTGTACACATTTAGAGTTTGAAAATGGTTATGGTTAGCTAGAGGGCTCAAATATGAGAAACCCGAAAAACACCATATATGACCATTGAAAACACGGATGATAGAATATACCACTTGAGTCACCTAATTGTTTGTTCCGTATGCTATATATATGCTTATTGGGTTTATGATCAAACATAAAACTAAACAAGGTGTCCTCTTACCTAAAATCTAATGAGCAAAAACCATGCCTTTTGAACTAATACTTGGCAAATCATCTTTTTGTTTTCTTATAAGGCTCGACGGATAGTTCGCAAACATGCCTCTCGAGCTAAATGAAGAAAGTTCAAGTGTCAACTCTCGCGGGAGCCCCTTCATTTGTTACTAATTAATCAATAATTCGACAATGACAACCCGACAGAAAGGAACCCGTCAACCAAACAGCATTAACAACATTCAGTAAATACATAGTCCCCCTCTCTTTTCCATCCTAAGACCAATTTGATTCCGAATTGGTCAACCAAACAGCATCATTCTTTACAATCTCATTCACTTTTCACCATTAATTCTTACAAGAGAAGTACGAACTACAAAAATTACTCTGGTTTTAATACCTAATTTTTACTCGTAATCACATCAGTATTGATCTCTTGTAGTTAAGTACAAACACAACCATGATCCACCCAAGTAGAAAGTAGGCGGCTGACAAATTTTTTAGACTCCATAAAAGGTAAAAATCACTCAAATTCACAGTAAACGTAACTAGTTTATGATCCATGTAGACGATATATAAGTATTTTTGAAAGAATAAAAAAAGAAAAAGGAAACAACATACCTTTTGTTTGGCACGACTAGTGCCGGATTGGGACAAGGCCACTAATGGCGGAATTGCACCCTCTCGGGCCACCATGGTCCGATAAGCCACAGAGTCTTGGCAAAGCTGCAACAATATAGCCACTGCAATCTCCTTCTGGCGGTGGGTCCCCACCTCAACAATCTCAACCAGTACTGGGATCCCGCCTTCTTCCACCAGGGCCACCCTTGCCTCCGGCAGCGGCACCAGAAGGCTCAGCACGAAAGCCGACTTATCCACCATGCTCGACCCCAGATCCGACATCATCTCCACCAGCGGCTTCATGATACCCGCCTGCACCGCCCGCACCTTGTTCTCACGCGCGCCACAAAGAGAGTAGAGCGCCGTGCACGCGTCCTTCTTCCCCCGCAGGCTTCCCCCCTCCAGCAGATCCACCAGCGGGGGGATCGCCC